GACCGGCAGACACAGAGGTAATTTAACCTTTTATTGATTGTCATACCGATCCGGAACAACAAAAAACAACATAAAATGAAGCTATGTATAATAGTTTGGCCAGCATATCTTAAAATATGCAAACCAACTGCTGTTCTTTATATAAGAAGGTTTCAACTGAATATTATAAGATCCCCGTGCGTAGAACGGGTACACAGCTAGTCAATAAATAATTTGAATCACTCCATAAGTTTAACTCTGATAAAGGCAGCAAACATATAATTCATTCAATTCAATTCATTCATTTATTTAGAAAAAATAAACATTACATATACTTTTTACATTAAATAATCTGAAATCAGGTCCCTGCGAAGCAAAGCTTCAGTGCAGGGACCGAGTCGCAAACATCTTCCACCATGCCCATAAACCATATACTTAAAATGTTCGTAATGACGAGAAACCTTGCGCAAAACTATCCATTATTTCATAAATTGCCATTTAAGGTCGTAATTCTTTTCTAAAGGAAACTTTCCATTTACCTAATGTTAAAATACCTCAGCTGTACTTATTTGTTTGTATTACTTTATTCTGTTTTGTTTATTTCAGCCCAACCTAACCAATCAATAATGCTATTAAACTTATGAACTCAAACGGGGCGAAGCCCGTGGGTAATAGCTAGTTACTATAAAGAACATTTAACGTTACATCTCGTTTTCTTGTAACTTTATGGAAATTCTATAATTTTTCCTGAGTCCTTGGGGTCAAGACCTTTAATTTAAGACCCCTCCCACGTTTCTGCGACTTACCAGACGTTCACAATTTTAGGGTAAAAATTTTGTCTTACAGAATTAAGGATATTTATGACGGCAACCTTATCCTAACCTACATTAATTTTGTATTTAAAATAACGGCCTTATAGTCTAGTCAAGTGGGTTTTTAAAAGGGCTTGAAGTGGAAAGTTCATAGGTAATTGTTTTTTTAAGGCTTACTTTATATTTTTGGAGGTTCTGAACACGAATCTGAAGTTGTCCAACAAAATGTCTTTCGGCAAATAGAAGAAAATTAAAAAATGTGTAAAAATCTTTAAATAGTCTAAAGAAACTAAATAAACAGTATCACAAATCTGACACATACTTTCTCCCATAAGCTTGTAAACAACCTTTATCATGGGTAAGTTGGTGGGATGAGTAACTATAATAATTTTGTAGAAAAAATCCCAAAAGTTGCAATAACTTTTGAACCGTAATTGTTACAGTAAAGGAAGTTGTATTATTTTGAATTATTAAAAAAAATTAATTGGACCTCTTAGTTTGGAAAAATATCTTTCATTGAAGTTAGGCTAACTTATATGGCTTCCTAGTACCTTTCAGAGAGGTTACTTCGATGTATTCATTCAGCTTAGTGAAAACATAGGTCTATCTCAAAATAGATAAGTATACAAATCAGAACTTGAACTCTTAGAGAGCCTTTGGATGTTATTAGACTAACGAAAAGGGTCTATGCAGATAACATTATTTCTGGTTTTATACAGTATACAGTGCATTGCCAAATATACTGGCAAATAAGAGTATATTTGAATTATATACGCAATCCTCTAAATTATAATATTGCGTACTGGATTAGTGATAAATCACGATCAGCAGTATTGAAGTAAACAAAAATCAGCTGTAAAATGGCTGCTAATGCTATTCTTATGGAGAACACATTACTTTAATTTACTTTACTTTTGTGTAGAAACAGTTTGTTGTTTGTTTTTGTTTGCTTTTGATGATGTTATTTTCAATAGATTATTTGAATCACTCCATAAGTAAATCACTCTGCTAAAGGCAGCAAACATATCAACATATTTTTTACTATATACTTGTTTGTGAATAAATACGGTACTGTCATACTAAGGTAGATTTAGTTTCGTGATTAACTTGCATAAAAAAGGATTCCCTGATTTGAATGTTAGACATTGCCTTCGTGAAATATAAAAAGGCAAATAAAGGCAAAGAAGGTGTGTTGAGGTATGCTTAGTTCTTGGCCAAAACAGCTAAATCAAAATAATAGTTTATACTCCTTTGTTTAAAAAACGTAAAGAAACAGAAACTACATCTAGGTTTTACTGTTATATATGGATGCTCCATTTACTACTATACCATACTTGCTAGGCTATATTATTTTAACCTTTTTTGCTTGGAACGTAAAGACAGTACCTGTTTCAAATCTCCTCCAAACAATATTGTTTTCCGCCCATTGGAACTTGTCATAGTACTCACTTAGTTAAGAAATTTATTTCCTGATCAAACCTATTTCATCTTTATTCCCAGGTTATTTTGTAAGAGTAGCCGTTGAGGTTATTTTACTTCATACCAAATATTGATTATATACAATAAATAAAAATTATAGACCCTATTATATACAATTATATACAAAAATTGATATACAATAAATCTCAAAATTTAAAATGTTAGTTAATTTACAAAGAAGGTGTAGAATAAATCTAGAACATGTGTTTTGAAATATAAACAAAGCCGAAGTTTTCCATCTTGAATCGTTAATTATTTAGTCAACGTGGTTATTTTATGTTAAACGTTAAAAATACACAAATTTGAAAAGTTTCACAGTAAAATAATTTACTTCAACATTCTATAACCCTAAAAAGTCTTAATTAATATAGGTACCCTTAACCCTGGTTTTATATAGTATACAGTATGTTGCAGAATTGACTAGCAAATGGAGTAATCCAAATGTAATTTTGCATACTGGCTTAAAGATAAATCACGATCAAAAAAGTTTTGGAATTTCACTACCGGTATTTTTCCCGCCGTTACGGGATCGAGACCTTTAATTTGAGCCCTCTCCGGTCGTTCTACAACTTCCCAGTTGCCCACAATTTTGACGCAAAGAATCGGCTTACGTCATTAATATATAGTTGTGTCATAATTTAAAAAATCCGGTACAGCAGTAAAGCAGTATAAAAAATTCAGGCTAAGAATCATGAAACGGTCTTGTTCCCCATCCGTGGGGCAGGACTAAAATTGAAGTTTAAATTTTGATTTTAAAATAGCCACCTAAGTAATCATTCTCTAATTGTTATTGAATATGCTCAGGTTCATTGTTAATAAGTATGTGCAATATTTGATATAATACTAAAATTTGAAGGCTTTACTTTCAATGTCCTTTATTTTATTGTTATATTTAAAAGTTATTGCTAAAAGTAATATTTGTAATTGTAATTTATAACATTATAGATTCCGTGCTTGCAATTATACAGGTAGTAATAACGTTTAGTTTTTGAAATCCGAATAGAATTAATAATAAACAAAAAAACAGTATTTTCTACCACTTGTAGCTACGGGCCACCAGTTCTGGTTACGATAGTTAATTCCCTGTGTTGGGAGGGAAATGCCAACGAGCGTCCTTACTCGATATAATGGGGGCGAAAAGCGACGAAATACCCACCCAGCCGTGGCGCGGGGATTTCTGAAGCGTCCGTCCGGGTGAAACACCATTTTGAGGGTGTCCGCGTCAAACACGTCCGGGCTAAACACGGAGCCTTCGTATACAACCTTAAAAAGTATTCATCAGAAGTCACCGTAGGATGTCGAATACAATTTCCATCCAGGAGAGCTGTGATAAGCAGGTTGTCTGTATCGTCCACAAGACACTTGTCACTGAGGCACCGCAATATTTAAAGGAAAAACTGAAAGCGAGGTCGGCCGCTGAGAGAGCGCAGAACTAGACAGGACTTGTTGCTTGACATATCAAGGTTGTTCTTGATGCTGGTAGAAGGAGGTTTTCTTACTTCGGGCCAGCTCAGTACAGTGCACTTCCTTGTAAACTAAAAGCACTAACAAATTTAAAACTTGTCTGAAAAATTTGTAATTAAATTTTTATTTTGTTTTGTAGTGTTAAGAATCTTTGTTTAGTTTTAGTCCTGACTTTTGAGTTAATTTGTAAAACAGTATTGTTACTGACATTCGCTCATGAAAAAAGACCTTTTTTATTTATTTTATTTAATGCTCCCTGGATTTTTAGAAACAGGCATATACATGAAGAGCTAGGAATGGAGTCTATCTCGGCCTTTATTGAAAAAAAAACCACCTCCAAATTTCTGAAGTCTTTAAACAATGTTCCTGACGTGCACTAGCTTTTGATCTTGGCGAAGCAACTATGAGAACAGGTGAGGCTACGTCGAAGGCTCCCTCAAGATCTTTTGGATGTATTAAGCCTATTATAACCATAAGAAGATTGGATATGTTTAGTTAAATTACGGTAATTATGTTACAGGGTGTCTCAGATCTGGGTGAACCCACGATAATGTTATTATTGTTAATTTATTGTTCTTATTTTGTCAACTTTTCTGTGACAACCTCATTGAACCAGAAACAAATGCTGAACAAAAAATTGTTTGCAGAGAAGAGATGATTAAAAAGATGTTTATCCATGTTTTGATTTTTTAAATCATCTCATTTGTTCAATGTTTGTTTATAGTTGTTTTTATTGTTCTCGCACTGTTCTTCATATTGTTATTAATTAATTGCTCTTCTTATTATATTCATTTTATTTTTAAATACAAATATTGTATTGATGGTGGCATGGTACGGACGGATGGCTGGCAAGGCAATTTTTACAAGTTATTATTGAATGTGATATGAGTGTGCCCACTATGGCTACGGCGGGACGGCAGGCATATCCAGGAGGAGGAAGATTATAGTATAGAATATGTTATAGTATATAGGACATTTATAGGAGGGAGATTATAGTTGGGGAAATGCAGGTGTAATCAATTAGTATTCAACTCTCAACTTTAATACTGAATTGTAGCATTGGCTATTAAAGATTGTAGTTATTAACATGGGCATTAGGTGTAACATTCATATCGAAAAATAAATATACATGAAATTAGTTAAAATTATACATATAAAAAAAAATTTTCTTATTTATGCCATATTCCTTGGTATTATATATCTCTTTAGGTAGATAGTTCCATGCACGTTTTTCGATTTCCTCCCCACTGGTTTCTTCTCAGTTGATGTTGATAGATGTTTTTTTTACTTCTTTTCCTTTCATCCGGTTTGACTATTCTACACACAATTTACGTGTGTTAGTTTTCATAGATTTATTCTAATTAATCCTTTCCACAATGGTCCAGAAAAAGGTAATACACTCAAATTACTGTTAATTAGTAATACATTTTTAAGTATTTATATTTTACACGTAATATTTTTGCAAAATAAATCCTTTCCCTTGGTATTATACAAGTTAGGTTATGGTTATATTCCAACTCACGAAATAGCGCTTGTTAGTCCCCTAGTTTTCAATTTTGATCGTATTTTTTATTTTATAAGATTTTAAAACAAATGATTTACCCTCACCATTTGATAATACCCCTTCTATTACCGTAGGGGTTTAGGTCTTCTCAAAATTTTAAATTTCTATAGGCTGGGCTACTACCCCTTATATCGACCCTGTTTAGGTTAGGATACAGTTAAGCAGAGAACCTGCGATGTATAGGCCTATTATCAGATGAAATATAAGTTTGTCATAAGTGTCACTTAAAATATTTCAATATATCTACCTATAGGTCTGGCGTACTGTAAGTTAACATAAATGTTTTATTTTCTGTCATGTGTTTTTAGTTCTAGAGTGTAGTCTGCCACCCCATTTTATGCTGTTGCAGCTTTAAGGTTAACTAAGTTTATGAAACTCATGAAATAATAGAAAAAAAGAACTAAACTTCTAATACAAACTTATGTCTTTGTTAGCATTTCTATCTTTTAGCATTTCTCTAAAGGTCCCTTAACCCTAGAGCCGGCAGTCAGCTGCTAAGTACTACTAAAGAAGGCTGTATGAATAACACCACCGTTGAGTACAACCATAGACAATAGAGTAAATATAGACTGTCAAAGATAGGTCTTGCGATCTGCCGCTAGAGCGTTATCGCCGTTCGATATCGGTATTCGATTCGGTGTCGGCGTCGACTACTCGCCAGCTTTTACCAGCACTACCACTCTTGCAAATGAAATGCTTACTTTAGGCCTATCGCTAATTGTCGTCTTCTGCAATCGCGTCAAAATCATGAACATCTTTCGCGGCCGTGTAGACATAATCATTGTATGCCGTGGTCACGAAACGTCATCGTCGTCCACGATTGCGTCAATATCGTGAACATCTTCAGCGGCCTTGTAGACATTATCGTCTTGTGTGATCGCAGAAAAGACGTGATAATTTTTCCTGAGGTCACGAAAACGTCGTCTAGCATGGTCGTGGTTTAAGAACATCTCCCTCGGTCGTGTAGACATCATCATCGTCTTGCGCCGTCACGGAAACGTGATCGTTGTCTACTTAGCGTGATTGAGGTAAAATCATGAAATTTCCCGACTTTGATATCAAAATAAAGAAAGACTAAGTCCCAACTTGTCAAAACCATTTTGAAACTCAATAGGCCTACTATTACTAATAGGTACCTGACTTTCCCGTTTTCCCTGACTACTAGACACCCTGGTTAGTTAGATTTTTACCTTGCAATATAAAACAAAACCTTCCAATAAACCACTTTCTAAAATTATGGATTAATAAGGAATATTTTGAATCATTGTAATGAATCTACAAAAGTATAACAAATAGGCTATATGGTTTAAAAAAATACGATAAAAGGTGGCATTTTAATTAATTAATTGCCTAATATTATATAGCCTAAGTCAGTAAATTCCAATTCCGGGGAATTCCTCCAAAGTTGGCAACACTACTCCTAACTACCAACTACCAAGTTGTTATGGAAACGGTCGCTAGCGCTTGATGCTGCAGCGGTGTGCGCCGTAACTACACATTACCCCTAGCAATCGGCGCCGGTCAGGGTGTATACCAACCGGGAAAACCGGGAGAACCGGGAAATAACCTTGAATTTGAAGGGACCTGGAAAAAACCGGGAAAAAGCCGGGATTTTTGGACCGATTCCGGGATTTTTGTTTTAACCCCGGTAGAAGATTGTAGTCGTAAAATGCATCTTGCCGCGATTGCGGGCGACGACGATGACGTTTTCGTGACCGCGGGAGACGACGATGACGTTTCCGTGACCGCAGGATACGACATAAGCTAACCGCAGCACAGCTGACAGTCTATATTTATTTCTTTATGTCTATGGTACAACTGACCATTGTCGGTAAATTTTCAAGGAGCTTGGTATCCTGACAATACATAGTCAATATGTGCTTAACAACCTCCCTCCTGAAAGAAAATGAGTCATCCTTCATGACTATAAGCATGCAGCATGATCACGGGACGCGTAGAGCCTGTAATCTTGACCTGCCCGTTGCAGACTCAGTCACACTCTAAACTCCTACACAGAGTTTGTTCTCTTGACAAAAGCGATTCAAGTCAACACTAACTTATACCAGGGTTTGCTCAGTCGATCGTTATACTCCTGGTAAGAAATGTTCGACGAGCCTCTAGTATTTGTAAATAATACCTCCTCTCCCGCCATTGTTGCTGTGTAGTGTTTTTAATAAGTAATGTAAATAGATGCAATCTACTATCCAATCTTGTTGGTCAAAGATGAACATACCAAGTACCTATTCAAGTAGGCCTACATCGTAAATTCTCTGTGGTAGCCTACTATATCCTTGTATAAGCTAACCATCCAGACTTCTTTGAATGTTTTGGCCCACTTAGAGAAACATTAAATAAGTAACTAAGTTAGGTTAGGTATCAAGTTTGAAGTCAATGCCTCAATGTAAGTCAATCAATGTTGCCTACTATCATATGAAATCATTGAAAGACAATGGTTGGGAATTAAAAATGACAGAAATCAGCTTGTGAAGTGAAGGAAAACATTGGTGTTTACTGAGCAAAAACATTTATGATTTGTTTTGTAATAACTTAGTTGCGTGTATGTTTTTTTGTCTGACTTGTTAAATTAGGCCTATAATCATCCAGGGGTGTTATCATCGCAATCTATTAAGTTACATAGGTATTCATTGGTTTTGATAGGCCTAGATTTTTCAAACAAGAATTTCTTGCCCTGACTGCAATGTAAGTTAAGCCTACTGGTACTTATTTAATATATGCTCAACTTAAGTTGGTTTAGGCTAATTTCTTTTAAGGTGTGAGTTATTTAAGTTTAAATGTCAAACTCTCATTCTTGGTTAGTCTAATCCAATTGTATGATGGGATTGTTTTGGATTGGACATTTCATCAGCAATTCAGCGGAACAATGATAGAATAATTAAGTTAATTTAGCAATTACACGCTTTCAAATTTTTTATTAAAACTTCAGCCAATTCAATCATGAAAAAACGTCAATAATTGTCAGAAGCATTGTTATTGGCAATGGAATTTGCCTCTTAATTTAAGTTACCGGTACCATTGTTGTTAAAAATATTGGAACTCTTAAGTTAGGGTAACTTATATTTAAAAATAAAATCATTGATGCTCATCCCTACTTTGGACAAACCACCTAGGCTACTTTTTGTTTACACACAATTCATCATCTTTCTTTATTTTCAGCCAAAGAAGAAGACTGGCAAGAGAGTTGCTGCAGCACCTCTGGCAGTAAAGAAACAAGAAGTCAAGAAAGTTGTCAACCCCTTGTTTGAAAAGAGGCCAAGAAACTTTGGCATTGGTAAGTGGTAAATTTGAATGTATTCCCAATGTAGCTAGTATCTAGTTCCACGTGGCTAGTAATAATTAAATTGTTATGACGGTAAACATTTTAATATTTATTATTCACTAATTCACTTAGGCCTTATAGTGAGTTTAAAATAATTTTGAGTTGAACTGACACAAGTATCGATATCTGGTAATACCATTGAATCCTGCATACCAAATCAAACTTAACGATCCCATAGCCTATTAAAATAGCTCTATCTAACAAAATGCAAGGACCTTGGTCTACACTGTAAGATTACACGCTAGTCGCCGGCGTGTAAGAAGCCGGCAAGTTGGCAAGTGCGCTTGTATTCGTTCACAAGGAGCTTGGCCACATGCCAACTCGCCGACGTGTAGAAAGACGTCGGCGAGTGAGCATGTAGTCGTTCACAAGATGCTTTTTCCACTCGCTCAGTAGCAGGCTTGAACTAATTCCTCCGACATCTCCGAATAACATGCTGACAAGCACAAGCAACTGTGTTCACACTGGGCTATTTTACACGCCTACTCGCTCAAAAGCTGGCGAGTTGGCGTGTAAAGTAGCGGCAGCGTCAACTTTTTCCAGAGCTTTTTTACAAGCAGCTTTTGAGCGAGTACGTCGTTCACACTGAGCTATTTTACTAGCTGCGTGTAAAAAATCCGGCTTGTAGCTTGTAAACTCGCCCCGTGTGAACGGGGCTTAAGAAAGAATTTACAAATGGAAAATAGTTGGAGGAACAAAACTAGTCACTAGCACTTTTAATGTTTAATTTACAATAACACTTGGCTGCCTTTTAGGCATAGTTTTCACCCGTCCTAAAGAAGATTCTGAACTAATCATGTAGGTTCATGGAAAAAGACTAAAGTTTATATTGATATTTCTAATGCAATATCTTTATGGCTAGTATGGACAGTAATAGCCTAATTTGTCTATTGATTTCAACAGTCAACGCTGTACAAAATATAATAGACGTAGTGTATTTTATTTTATTTTGTGTGTATTTACGCCAGTGGCATTTTTTACGTTTTGAAAGGGAACGGTCCAAACTTGAAGTGTTATAAGATCAATGCTCAACGCACATACTTTACTGCGGGATTTTTGATTAGGTTGTGGTTGTGAGACCTTAATGGGCAGTGATAAAAACTGGCTACAACTCGAAACATGGAAAATGGGATGTTTGCAACTACCAACAGTCAATACTATCATATTATATTGTTACATTAACCATATTATAAATGGATCTGGCATATTTCCAGGTCAGGACATCCAGCCCAAACGTGACCTAAGCAGATTTGTCAGATGGCCAAAGTATGTCCGCATCCAGAGACAGAAGGCCGTCCTACAGAAGCGTCTGAAAGTCCCTCCTCCAATCAACCAGTTCACCCAAACACTTGACAAACAGACTGGTAAGTTTATACTTTTTTTGTAATATCACCATTAGCTCATTTTCCGTTTGCAATTCATATTAGGCTACTTGTAAATCCAGTTAGGCTATAACAGAAGCATGCATAACAGAAGAATAATATGGTGGCTGATAGGAAACACAGTCTACTATTTAATACCACTGGCATTACAAACAATTTCAGCTCATACAATTTGTATAGGTACCAAATTTGAGTCTATCTAAAGCTTAATCAATTGCAATAGGCCTATGAGAGTTGCTCTAACTAAACGTATTTTATCTGGTGTTCAGGAGCACTCCCATATTGCTTAGGCTATAAATTTTATGTTTTACCTTCAGTTTATTCGTTGGTTTTGTTTGGGTCAAATTGAAAAGTCTGAAGTTTTTTAATGAATGAAAATCCAACCCAGTTTCCCTTGACCTATAGGCTTGTGATAAATGGTATAGGCAATAGAACCAGCTAACCTTAGTCAGTAATAAAGCTTTTTATTTTTCATAGTCGACTTTATTCTACACTTCTCTTCTCCATAAATGAGTACTCAGGTGATATGAAATGTAAAATTGGCTGGGTAGCTGGCCGGTCCAATCCTGAGAAAAGTCAGTAGCTTTTTGATAGTTCTAAAACCGGACCTAGCTGTTCCTGATCATTCGGCTTTTTAAATAAATGATCCTGACTGGTGAAACAGTTGGCTAAGTCAGTAACAAAGCTACACAGCTTCTACACTCATCCTTCACTCATTTTTGGGTATGTACCTAGATGGCTTCCCCATCTCAAATAGGCCCTAATTGATAATTTATTTGCTATATAAATCTAATTTAACTAATTGGTCTTCTTGATAATTAGAGGTGAGTAAAGAAACACAGTCTCAGTCTAGTAAATAAAAATTTCAATCTCAAAAAAAGACCTGATTTGTTAATCCCATTTAGTAAGTTACAGAAACAATGTTTAATTTTTTCAGCTACACAACTGTTTAAAATCCTGGAGAAGTACAGGCCCGAGACTGCCGCAGCCAAGAAGCAGAGGTTGAAGGCTAAGGCTGAGCAGAAGGTTGCCAAGAAGGAGGAGGCTCCTACCAAGAAACCTAATGTTGTGTCTCAGGGTGCCAACTCTGTCACCAGGCTGGTAGAACAGAAGAAGGCCCAGCTAGTTGTCATCGCTCATGACGTTGAGCCTATTGAGGTACATTATTTTCTTTTGTTTTTTTTTATAAAAACCTATCCAAAAATGTTTCTAATTAAATCAGTCAAGCCCAAGTTACCTACAGATTAAAAATAAGTATTTTGTTAACTCATTGACGATGACTCACATCACCGCATTTTGTGGCAAGGGTGCTGTACAGCTAATCCACAAGTGCTAATCTAAACTATGAACGCTAGTGTCGTGTATCAGCTGACAGTGGCATGGTAGCCCAGTTGGCTAAGGCATTGCACTGGGGTATAGTGTTGAGGTCTCTAATTGTGCGAGGACATTTAGTGAGTAAGGACTGCTGGATTGCACACAACACCTTTATTGCTTCTTTTTTAATTGGTTCAGAGGATATAGATTTTTCTTCTTTTTTTCCTACTTTTATTTAGGTTAAACATGGTCTTATTGCGTTGAAACACAACTATGATAAAATACATAAAAATGTCTATGTAACCTTATAAGAGATATTTAATATAGAAATAAAAAAAATATTCTGGCGTTAATGCAAACACTAAATCAGCAGTCAGTGGCTTTAATCAGTGTGTTGAGCAAACTGGGAACTCTATTTGATCGTGAATTTTTTGACTGGGAACTAGGAAGTGCGTTTTTTTATTGGATTATTACATTTTTTTATTAGCTTAGTGCATTTTTTACAGCTTTGTCTATGTTTGCGTTTGCCAGCAAACTAAAGATGTTCTTGCGATTTTTCTGTATCCAGCTCCAAGTTATGATCTTTTCAAAAGCACACTGCAACATTTAACAGAATCAGTCTTGGGAAAAGTTTGTATTTTTAACTGTATAAGGAATGGAGCCTGTCCAGCCTAGCGAAGGTTCTTCAGTTGTAAATCTTTGCAGTTTGAGCTTAAGAAATACTGATTGTCATATGAATTTGATGTATTGGTTAATTTGTTGTGATTTTCTCAGTTGGTGCTGTTCCTGCCTGCCCTCTGCCGCAAGATGGGAGTGCCGTACTGTATTGTCAAGGGCAAAGCTCGTCTTGGTAGACTAGTCCATCGCAAGACTTGCACTGCAGTGGCACTGACCAACGTATGTAATCTAGCTTACGATTACAAGTTTAAGTATTATTGAACAGTCTTTTGTCATATTAATGGTTGGCTATGTTAGCTTTCGACTTAAGATTTTACAATACGACCTCAGTGAGTTGGACCAGCCAGTAGAAAAAGGCCGATAAAGCACAACAAATGTGTATATGTGCATAATGAATTTAATTCATGTTTTACAAACTGACCCTGGTTATCCAGGTGCTAAATTAACAAGGTTTTATTGTAATGCAAGCCCTAAATAATTTTATTCAGACTTTGGTTGGTTGATACTTAGTAGTAAGGAAATAAAGTTGTGTTATCCAGTATTATTTACTACTAAAACTTGTTTAATAGCTGCCATTTTGGATTTGCATGCCATAATAGCAATGAATACCAAAGTGATGGTAATTTAAATATCAAGGGCACTATTGAATAATAAATTTTGTTTGTATTTTTGTAACTGTTTTATTTTATGAGTTAGCACGGCTACGCTCCAAGGACTATTTTAAGAGTTGTTTTTGAACTGCACCCGAAAATAAAGGAAGTTAATTTTTGCATATTCCCTTACACTTAGCTTTTAAGGGATCACTCAGCATACTGTTTACACTGGCTATTAGCAAGCACTGGGAACATGATTCTAAGAATATGTTTTCTTAAATAATAATATATTGTTTTAACAGGTTGACTCCGGAGACCGCACATCACTTACGAAGGTACTCGAGGCTGTCAAGACCAACTACAATGACCGTTACGAGGAGATCAAGCGACACTGGGGAGGCGGTCTGCTGGGCAGCAAATCTGCAGCGCGTATCGCTAAACTGGAGAAGGCCAAGGCTCGTGAATTGGCGCAAAAACAAGGATAAACACTGTCTCGTTTATGTTCTCAATAGGATAATAAATGGGATTTGTTTTTTATGTTTAATCTGTTTTTCCTGATCCCTATTTTTACTTAGGTCTTGCATTTTTGTACAGTCTGTGGGAGTCAGGAGAAAAATGTAATCATCTGTTTTGGCTGACATAAATCACTAAATTTACTTGTCTTGTAACTCGCGTAAGTGGCTATAATTGCCAAATATTATGTAGAACTATGATGTGGCTTGTTTTTTAGTTAACTGCAACCTCTGTTTTCTCTCTGTATTCTTACTTTATTTCAAAATATATAATCTTTGACTATTAATACAATTTCAGTACCCAATAGTCAATTATATAACTCACTGTATTGATATGACCAATTAAATTTTGTAAATTTAACATTGCTCATGGTCTTGGTAACTTATTTTAATGAAACTTATTTTTGCTAGCTTCAAGTAATAAATACTATTTACAATACTACAAATTTGTCTCGCAATTACCATAAATTCATATTGATTTGATGGTGGATAATATGTTAAAACAACAGGCTTACACAAATTAATACAGAAAACATAGAATTTGCGGAGCCACTAGCTCCTTCTGTCCACCTTCTCGTGTCTGCCCACACTTAAACACCATACAGGAGTACAGACTGGACCGCAAACGTTAACTGCCTTCTACAGCTGAATGTGTTTACTGACTAAGGGAAGAAATCAACTAGTCTGTCGTCAGCTAGCTAATCTTTGTCAACATGACCTTACTGGCTGGTACTTGGCTGAAGAAACAGTATTTTGACGCCTCCCACCCACTTCGGGACTATAGTTTAAATTTGGCAATTTCCAAATATATGATTTACCATATCGGCGTCTGCCATCTGCCATCTGCTGCTATTTGGCTTAATGAGCCACCCTCAGAACTGCCATTTGCCCGCCAAGCTCGATGACATATTCCATCAGGACTTGTCGACACACAAACAATGTCCCAAACATTGACTATGGTATTCTTCTGTTAGAGTGCATGGTTGCACAGCTGCCTTGAGGTTAGCAGCTTTGTCTTTTGACCTCAAATAAAATAAAATCAGTTTTATTTCCACAATAAGTATGCAAAAAAGGAACAATTTTTCAAAAAATAAAATATAAAAATTAGTCTAGAAGCATTACTCTGTTCAAGTTCAAGGAGGATATTGGCATTGACTATAGTCAATGATATTGGTCTGCTCCAGTTCAGCCTAGGCTTTGATTTCACACAAGGCTTTGGTGAATGATTTCCTACATGAGGGTTTAAACCATGATAGCAACTGTCCTAATTCATTTTAGCTGTGACTTAAGGAGTAGTGGCTGAGCCAGGCCCAGTTTGGAACTCTCTGGTAGTCTGCGCCTCCACTGCCTCAATTGCCTCTCCTCCTTTCGGGAAATGTGCTTTATCCACGCAGCCTTTAATTGGTGTCTGAGTGACTTACCACTTTTCAATATTTCTCTTAAGGGGTATTGTGGGAGACACTGTTGAAGAAGCCATCGTATCAGAGAATTTCAGTGTAGCAGATGAAATGTCCGTCTCATTAGCTTTACCAATGCTTAAACCTTGTGGTTTTGTACTATCTCTTCCCTTTTCAAAGTGATTTCCAAATTGGAGGCCTCCTACGTTTCTTAAAAGATGGATCTTTGAGGTATTCAGGCAGGGACTGTTGTAATTGTATTCTTCAGCCAAGATCTCTGTTTTATTCTTCTCATACATTTTTATCCAAGACCACCTTACTCAGCAGACATTAAGCTTACTGTGGGGTGATTTGCTTGCAAAGACAAAACCAAGGTTATCCTCAAGTTTGGCTACGCCGTTCTTGACTACTAAGTTTATGCACCTTTTTGGGTAGAAGGTGTCCAGCATTGCCTCAATTGATGGTTGAAGGTCTCAATGTTTTGAAGCCGGCTTTCGATTTTACTCTCTGTTAAGATTTTCAAGGCTGGCCCAAGTTTGCAATAGACCATCGTTCCGTTCCCAATAAAGGCACCAACGGTATTTTCGGTATCGTTTTGGGATTAGGTGTGACATAGAGACACGTCATCCCCTCTGAAATGTCACCACTTATAACTACATTTGTTAACTCCATGCTTCCTGCAATTGACAATTCTATAAGATTAGAACCAGCACATCTTGCAACAAGCGACAGCCCTGAAGAACAGAAAACTGATGGTGCACACTTGGGACAAAGCCCCTACCCCAGTTTCCCGGAGCCTGGTCTCCGTTTGCACAGTACCGGGGCAGTACAGATTCCAACCTCCACACCCGTGCCACACATTCCCTGACTAGGGTCCGAAGGGTCACCTGAGAGTGCGAGATGTACAGTTGTACACCATCAGCCCCTATGCATGCACATGAGTGCCCTATAATGCACGCAGGTTGAAACAGAAGGAGGAAACAATCCCGCATGGGATCGAAGGAAAACGATTGAAATGAAATAAGAAAGATATCGAGGACTTGGCAAAGGTTTAGACTAAAACTTGGCATCTGAGAAAGTTGGGAACACAAAGAGAAAAGAATCTCCTAACCCTTGTTAGTTGTTAACTACCTCTTACGACAAGCTGGGAAAAGTGCTATGCAGTCCTATAGTTTTAACCCAGGAGTGAAACCACACTACTTTACTCTAAAATGGCAACCATACAAAAGTAGGTATTTTAAGCTATGAATGGAGAGTGTAGTATAAGTGGCGAAAGTTTGTAGTCTTGTTAGGAGTAACATTTAAAAATATAATGTTGAATCACAGTAAGGGAATAGGCACTTTTTCTAAAGTAGTTAAGAATGTAGAAATGAAATAAAACTTCAGTCAGTGAGTCAGTACTTATCCTCTTGGCTGTGGTTAAGTAGGCTTACGACAGAATAATGTTGTAGTATTATTTTAGCTGCCAGTGTAAATTAAAAATTAAACTTTGTAGGTAGTCCAAGTCCACTCCACTGACGAGTATACCATAGATTAAACGTATATATATTATGTCTATATATAAATATTAATATTATGTCTATCATGATTAGACCAATTACTTCGATGTTCGATATAAGATAATTTTGATTAATTGAGCGGAGCGAGCGAAGCTCTTATACGTCGACTCTTATGTATTTCGTAATACGCAAACTCCTCCTAGACGGCTGAATCAATCGTTTTCAAATTTTGCATGGTGATAAAGACCATACCGGTGAGTGCCAACATCTATATGGCGTTAAAAAAGTCTCTCAGGAATCCGCCCCACTGGGTCTCAAAGTTTCAATGTAATCCTTATGGAAGCAGTTTTTGACAAATAAACAAAGACATATGACAAAGACAACAAAGACTTTGACAGATGTGAGATGAATTTCCAGTTATCAGCTGTTGGCTTTTAAATGCAGTAGATAAAGAAATAGCTGATAGCATTATTCCACAGATATTAGAACAGAAACGGTATGGTTCATAAACATAATCAAATGACGAAACTAGCTTGAGGTCCGTGACGTAGAAAGTGGTGAAGGAAGTAGTAAAGGTGAGCAGTCTGGAGTGTGGAAACTGTTTATGACGATTAGATTAAGGTATCTGCAATCCTAAAATGCTATGGGAAGGGAGGAAAACAGGTCCGGGACGTAGGAAGTGGTGAAGGAAGTAGTCAAGGCGATCTATCCGTAGTGTGGAAATTGTTTATGACGATTAGATTAAGGAATCTGCAATTCTAAAATGCTATGGAAAGGGAGGGAAACAGGTCCGTGACGTAGGAAGTGGTGAAGGAAGTAATAAAGGCGAGCAGTCCGGAGTGTGGGAACTGTTTATGACGATTAGATTAAGGTATCTACAATTCTAAAATGCTATGGAAAGGGAGGGAAACAGGTCCGTGACGTAGGAAGTGGTAAAGGGAGTAGTAAAGGCGAGTTGTCCGGAGTGTGGAAACTGTTTATGACGATTAGATTAAGGTATCTGCAATCCTAAAATGCTATTGGAAGGGAAGGAAACAGGTCCACGACGTAGGAAGTGTCGAAGTGGTGAAGTAAGTAGTAAAGGTGAGCTGTTCGGGGTGTGGGATCTGTTTATGACCATTATATTAAGGTATTTGCAATCCTATGATGCTATGGGAAGGGAGGGAACCCGGTCCGTGACGTAGGAAGTGGTGAAGGAAGTAGTAAAGGCAAGCATTCCGGACTGTGGGAACTGTTTGTGACGATTAGATTAAGGCATCTGCAATCGTATGATGCTATGGGAAGGGAGGAAAACACGTCCGCGACACCGTAGGAAGTAGTGAAGGAAGTAGTCAAGGCGATTTGTCCGTAGTGTGGAAATTGTTAATGACGATTAGATTAAGGTATCTGGAATTCTAAAATGCTATGGAAAGGGAGGGAAACAGGTCCGTGACGTAGGAAGTGGTGAAGGAAGTAATAAAGGCGAGCAGTCCGGAGTGTGGGGACTGTTTATGACGATTAGATTAAGGTATCTACAATTCTAAAATGCTATGGAAAGGGAGGGAAACAGGTCCGTGACGTAGGAAGTGGTAAAGGAAGTAGTAAAGGCGAGTTGTTCGGAGTGTGGGATCTGTTTATGACCAATAGATGAAGGAATTTGCAATCCAATAATGCTAAGGGAAGGGATGGAAACAGGTCCATGACGTAGGAAGTGGTGAAGGAGGTAGTAAAGGTGAGCAGTCCGGAGTGTGAGAACTTTTTATGACGATAGATTAAGGAATCTGCAATCCTGAAATGCTATAGGAAGGGAGGTAAACAGTTCCGTGACGTAGGAAGTGGTAAAGGAAGTAGTAAAGGCGAGCAGTCCGGAGGGTGGGAACTGTTTATGACGATTAGATTAAGGGATCTGCAATCATAAAATGCTATGGGAAGGGAGGGAAACAGGTCCGGGACGTAGGAAGTGGTGAAGGAAGTAGTCAAGGCGATAGAGCTGTCCGGAGTGTGGGAACTGTGTATGACGATTAGATTAAGATTAAATTATTATGATTAGATTAGATTAAGGTCTCTACAATCTTACAATGCTATGGGAAGAGAGGGAAACAGGTCCGCGATGTAGGAAGAGGTGAAGGAAGTAGTAAGGTGAGCAGTGT